CAAACCCCGGTAGAAACCCAATGAACTAAATACTATATACTTCGGCCTCGGTTGAGGGCTTTTGGTTTAAGGCGAAGGCACTAAACCCTCGTTTTGGTCTTGGGTTCGGGGTTTGGGGGTCCTTGGACCCACCTTTCTTCAAGCATTTTAGCTCCAATCTGCTTAGGGCCTTTATTGAAGTTGAGGGGTATTCTGCATCTGGAGACCGTGTGGATAGATGCAGCGGGTATTGTAACTCTAGAATCTGCTCTCGGTAGCCACGGATTAACCGATTAACCTTTCGGATGTCTTGCGGAACTGAAGCCTGTGTAATGCTGGGCTTGCGTCCTTCTTCTAAGCAGGATCCTATATAAAGGACCCAAATTTACAGAACGACCCAGCGAATTTCACGCAGACCTAAGTGCCGCCACTGAGCGGTCTTCTCCTCAAGAAGAGCGTCGCCACATTGAGGCGATGGGTTTCCGAGAAGCACAACGCAGACCCTGAAACTCCAAAATCCCTTCATTACGGAGTGTCCCTTGCACTATACAGATTGCCTCACGAACATTCCTTGATTCAGGGTGTAGCTAGGAGTCTCCGACAATGTCATCGCTTCACGCCTTCCTTGGGTGCTTCAGGTTGCGGAGCCGGCGGGTCTCGATTTCATTGGCCTTGATGCCTTACTGGTCCAGTATCCTAGGGAATGAACGCTTAAACTTTGGGATTATATGGATTGCAGCACCCCAAAAATTGGGGTAATTGGTACCTACTCTACTGAAAAATGACGCTCCCCATGTCGCTACGCCCGTCTCCCTGAGAGCCTGCGAAGCTTCTCTGAGCATCTGCCAGTGTTGCGAGACCCCCGAACCAGAGCCCTAAACCGTTCCTAAACTCAAAACAAGCCGAGGGAAAGACTCGAACGGCTCTCTCCTTGTGCCTATGGGGTTCTTGGGCCTCTTTCGCCTCCATTCGAGCAGGGAGAGGTGCTTTTGGGAACGGAAGACCTTGTGAGCATAAGCGGGCCTCGGAGTCGGTTTAAGGCCTACCTTCAGAACCCAAAACCCTCTTTTTTGTAG